CAAGCAAGTTGAAAGCAGAGAAAGAGGCTAAAGAAACTAAAGGGAATCCAAGGAGAATGTCGGCAACAGAGGAGGTAAATCTAAAGGAAATGATGAAAGAGATGATGACAGAAGTTTTGACGGAAATACAGACAATGAAAACGGAGATTCAGACTATTAAAGAAAGACAAGACATATACCAAAAAATTGCTCAAGTCCAGATGTCGGACCTGAAAAAAGACATAAGAGAGGAAATAGGGAAATTGAGAACGGAGGTGACAACAATGCAGCAGGAAATGAATGAGTTAAAGAAGGGGGAAAATGCATAAAGAAAGGACAAGAGGAAATGCAAACAAAACTGAGGAATATGGAAGTAAGAAATGGCAGGCTGGAGGCAAAACAGGAAGAATTGGAAGCAAAAGAAATGGAATTTCAATTAAGAATAAGGAATATTCAGGAAGATACTAATGAGAATATAAAAGAAAAAGTAACAGAGATACTGGTGGAACTAATGGAATGCACTGTACAGGAAATGCAGGAGCGGACAGACAGAATTTATAGAATCAATACAAACTTTGCAAAAAGAAACAAGACACCACGAGACGTAATAGTGAACTTCGTAAAGAAGACGACAAGGGATGACGTTCTGGGACGGAACAATCGAAGAAAAATATACTATAAAGGAAAGAAAGTTGTTATTTTAAAAGAGTTTCCAGGAATTGTGCTGAAAAGAAGGAGAAAATATGCACCGCTGACGGAAGAATTAAAGAAACAGAGGATCCGATTCAGATGGGAAAGAGATGAAGGATTAATGTTGACTTATAAAGAACAACGGTATTGGATTAAGACTGAGGAAAGGGCGAAGGAGTTCCTAAATAAAATAATAGCAGAAAGGGAAAGAGAGAATGGCGAACATGCAAAGGGGAGAACAAAGAAAAAAAAACGTACAGACTCGCCAGAGGAAGAGGAGCTCGAAAAGGAGGAAATGAGAAGATACTCGGAAGAAGGAGTGGGAGTACTGGAGTTAAGTGATCCAGAGGAGGAGGAAAGTGAGGAAGAAGAAGAAGAAGAAGAGAGACAAGAAGAAAGACAAGAAGAACCAGAAGAGGAAGAACAGATAATAAGAGAAGAAGAGGAGGAAAAGGAAGCATGCTGAATGAACTGAAAATCTACACGAACAACGTCAACGGGCTGAATTCTCCAAATAAAAGAAATAAAATATTTAATGGATTAAAGAAAAAGAGGTATCATATTATTGCGTTACAAGAAACTCATATCATGAGCAGACATACGAAACACTTAGAAAATAAAAAACTGGGGCAGACTTTCTATGCAACAATACAAGAAAAAAAAGAGGTTTAGTAACATATATAGACAAAAATATAACAGCTGAACTGGCCTTTAAAGATGAGGAAGGAAGGTTCCTAGGGGTGAACATTTGGCTAAATAACAAAAAAATACTAATCTGTAATATTTATGCGCCAAACAGTGCCAAGACAAGGTTTGTGGAAAGGTTGAGGAAAAATATAGAGGATCAGGAATTTGACCAGATGATAATGCTAGGTGATTTTAATGGTGTGTTAAATAGGGGGATGGATAGAAGTGCAATAAAGAATGATGGAAAGAAGAACAAGGAGGAAAGGGGGGACCTGCCAAAATCAATGATAAAGATGATGAAAGAGCTTTGTTTGGTGGATATTTGGAGAAATAGAAATGAAGGGATAAGAGATTATACTTATTACTCATCAAGYTACTGRAARTGGTCAAGAATTGACATGATRTGGATAACATCCTCTCTACAGATAAATGTGTCAAAAGTGTTAATCTTACCTAGGATRCACTCGGACCACTGTGCTCTGGAAATGGAAATAAAAATAATGGAGAAAACAAGAAGATGGCGATTGGATGACAATCTACTAAAAAAGGAAGAAGATATAGAACGAAACAGAAAATTGATAAAAGACTACTTTGAAATAAATGATGGGCCAGAGATTCCAATRTTTACATTATGGGAGGCAAGTAAGGCCGTTATGAGAGGAAATTTTATACAACAAAAGAGTAGGAAAAATAGGGAAAAAAGGAATAAAATGAAAGAGGTATTGGAGGCTATTGAAGAAGAGGAAGGAAAGGTAAAAGCAAATCCGCAAGARAAAGAAGCAAAACAGAGCTTGGAACATCTACACAAACAGAGAGAATTTTTGGAAACGGAGGAGAGGGAGAAAGAACTTAAGTTCATAAAGCAGAACTATTTTATGAATGCGAACAAACCGGGACGTTGGCTGGCGAACAAAATTAGGAGCAGAAAGGAAGCAACATTCATCACCAAACTGAAAGACAATGGTAAGATTATAAATGAGGAAGAGAAGATCAGGGAACAATTCTATGATTTTTACAAGAAATTATATCAAGACGAAAACATAGGGGAGGATGAAATTTACCAATATTTAACAAATCATAAGATACAAAGGATATCAGATGGACAAAGGGAAAAATTGAATAAAGAAATTACAGAGAAGGAAATAAAAGAAGCGATAAATAAATTGAAACCAAACAAAGCTCCGGGCCCAGACGGGTTCACGGCAACTTATTATAAGACGTTCCAAGAAGAGCTGTTACCATACTTAAAAGAAATGATGAATAGGATTCGAATCCACAAGGAAATTCCAGAATCATGGGCGAAAGCAAATATTTGTCTAATACACAAAGAAAATTCAGATGAAGAACAAGTCAAGAACTACAGACCAATTTCGTTATTGAACGTGGACTACAAAATATTCAGTTTAATTATGGCAGAAAGATTAAAAGGCTTATTGGATGAATATATAAAAGAAGAGCAGACGGGCTTTTTGCCTAATAGATATCAAAGCGAAAACGTAAGGACAATTGTAGATCTAATAGAATACTATGAAAACAAACATCAAAACAAAGTACTTTTATTAGCGCTAGACGCTGAGAAAGCGTTCGATAATGTGAACTGGAAGTTTTTTAAAATTATAATGAAAGAGATGGACTTAGGATTTTATTTTCAGAACGCAATCGAAGCGATTTACGAAAAACAAGAAGCTAAAGTATTGGTAAACGGGAAGGAAACAAACAGTATTGAGATAAAAAAGGGAACGAGACAGGGTTGCCCCCTGTCACCATTAATCTTCATCCTCACCCTAGAAGTGTTGTTAAACAAAATAAGGGAGGAAAAAAAATTGGCAGGCGCAAAGATTCAAGGACAAGAATATAAAATTCGGGCCTATGCAGATGACGTGATTTGTGTAATTGAGGACCCCATAAACAACTTAGAGGAATGGATAAAAACAATAAAAGATTTCGGAAAAGTCTCGGGATTCAAAATCAACATGGAAAAAACAAAGGCAATAATTAAGAATATAGGAAAAAATGATCAAGAAGAAATAAAAAAACAAATGGAATATACAAATAGTCAAAAAGCTGAAGTACCTAGGGATAACATTAACGTCGAAAAATCTACAATTACTACAAAATAATTATACAGAATATTGGAAGGAGATAAAGAAAGACATGGAAAGATGGAAGAATCTAAATTTATCACTGTTAGGGAGGATTGCCACGGTTAAGATGATGATACTGCCAAAACTGTTATTTTTATTTCAAAATTTACCGATTGTCCGAAATCAAAAAATAATAAAGGAATGGAACAAAGATATTAAAAAATTTATCTGGAAAAATAAAAAACCGAGAATCAACTTTGATAATCTGACGGAAAGGAAAGAAAATGGAGGACTTGCAGTACCAGACCTCGAATTATACATGGAAGCAAATGCGTTAATCTGGGCTAAGGATTGGGCAAAATTAGAAAAGAAGAAGCTATTGATACTGGAGGGATCAGACCTAAGAGAAGGTTGGCATACCTATATATGGTATAAGGGGAAGAAGAATGAGAAGAACTTCGGAAATCATTTTATAAGATCTACGGTTTTGAAGATATGGGAGAAATATAAAGATAGGTTGTGTAACAAAACCCCAATGTGGGTTTCTCCTTTGGAAGCAGGGCAAAGAAGGTGCACAGGATGGCATGAATGGGCAAAGTACAAAGATCTACTAAAAAAAGAGGGAGGAGATCTGATCCTAAAATCACAGGAAGAACTAAATACTGTGGATCAAAGAAATCCTGGGATCTTCAGTGGCCCATAAGGCATTTAGAATTCTCAGGTAGAGACTTCTACTGCCTCATCAAACTACAAATTCCTAAATCCACAAACTGAACTATGACAATTCAAGTGGAATAACACTACTATAATTATGTAGTGAATAGAGCATTTAAAACCTGAATACTTGAAAGATGGTGTGCATGCTAAGGAGACCACAGTGGTATTCATCAGATGGTAATTTTAAGTATTAATATATATATATATGTGTGTGTGTGTGTGTGTGTGTGTGTGTGTGTGTGTGTTTGAAGCCTGCAGTACCAGTTTTAGTCACCTGGTGACAGGCTTCCATAATCAGTGCATAGATCAGAAGTACTGTATTTGATCGCATAATAGTCGCCATCCATAATAGTCAAACACACCCCTTTTTTAGTGTCAAATTTGGTATTTTAGGATTCCTCACATAATAGTTGCACCCTTGGTTTAGACAGCATCCCCATTAACATTCCCTTCCACTGGTCTTGTCCTGCCCAAAAGAACTTTATCTACTTGCCCTCCCCTTTCAGCAAGGGCACATCATCCACTCACTCGTTTGCCTATCTACCCATCCACCCACCCACCCCCTTTTTACCAAAAAAAGGAACAAAAAGTGTGACTATTATGCGATGAAATTCGGTAACTACAATCTGAAGTTGTTTGAAGTACTTCAAGATCTTTCTCCAACCATCTGCTTTAGAATGAAACACCCAAACAGTCTGTGACCATGCCTAGGGCTTGAAGTGACCTTGTATGGTTTGTATTATCACAAAAGCTCTTGATAGATTAAAAAGCCAATTATGCATGACATTTTTTTTTAAAAAAAATGATGATTTCAACCATATTTTTTAAATTAAAAATACCTGTGCAACTGTTGTGCTGTGCTGCTGGGACCATTTTGAAGATTCATCTGGTTAAACTGGTGAGTGCTTTGAGGAGGTGGTCCAATGGGAGCAGCAGACCCAAAAGGCACATTTGTTTTCAGCATAGCTAAATGACACATAGATAAGAGTAAAGTTAATAAGAACTTATTTCCATTCATTTGGTACATATGACCAAAGACTAAAATAAAAAGGAAATGTATTTTCCACCTTGTTCTTTTCCCTCATCCCTAGGTGCAAAGGAGGAACAATGATTCAGATATAATGTTAGTCCCCTCTAGAGCAGATTCATTCAAATGAATGAGATACATGATTTCATCAGACAGGGCTTACTTCGGCGGCATATGCCAGTTCAGCCATGGTTCACCCACAGAGTCCACTGACTCCCATCTCATGATGCAGAGGAACTTCCAGCAGGGCTCTGTGGGTAAACTATAGTGAAAATGGCATATGCCAGTGCCATAGCAACATTGGAGATTCCTGAGTTGCACCAGAAGCAATGGGGGAAAGCTGCAAAATTGAAGCTTCCTCCCACCAAGAGTTGGCATGCTGATAAGCCGGACAATTCGGGGCATGGGGCAACTGGTTATCCATTCCCCCTGATGGGCACCTCCAGATTCTCCATGATCCATGGCAATTCCAGCAGGCTTTATGACAAGGTCCTTATTCATTCCATTGATATCATAATCAAGATTAAGTGGGCCGAGCACAGGTTTTGTCCTAAAATAAGTAATTACATTATACTGTAGTCTTCCAAAGAGAAAAGATTCTGTAAGAACAAGTTTCTTCCAACCTCACAAGCACATAAGTTGGATACAGAACACAATCTTCCCCTTTTCCTTCCCAACCGTATAAACACATATAAAATACAAATCTGCTCTGGAGTGTCTCCAACCCTTCAGGGTGGATTTGGGGTCACTTAGGTGGGTGTTAGAATAGAAATGCATTCACTTAAACAGGCTCAGTTCTGTAAGTTTTATACCAGAGATCCTCAAACTTTTAAAGATGAGAGCCGCTCTACTGTCCCTCACACTGTTGGGAGGGTGGAGGACTCTAGTTTGATAAAACAAACAAACACATAAACACATTCCTATACACACTACACACATCTTATTTGTAGTGCAAACAAACATGAAAGAACAATACAATATTTAAAATGAATATCAATTTTAACCAACATAAACTTAATAGAATTTCAATTGAAAGTGTGGGCCTGCTTCTGGCTGATGAGATAGTCAAGTTAATGAAAATAGTTGTTGTTGTGTGCCTTCAAGTTGTTTCCTTGTTTAATGTTTAGGACATGGGACAGGTAAATTACCTTGGAGGGCCTTAGTTTGGCACTGTGTTATACAAACAAGTTATAAACAATCTTTGCTATAATGTTACCCTACCTGATTGAGGTACAGATGATGATGGGTTTGATTCGCCGTAGTGTCCATATAGGGGAGAAGAAGCAGTTTGACCAAATCCAGGTGAAAATCCTCCCATTCCTGGCTGGGATTGAGAATATGGAGGCATTGCAACATATCCTTGCTGATTCATTTCAGCAGTGTTGTATTTTTAAAGAAAATCCTGCCATTAAAAATGGGAAAAGAAAGTAATTTAACTGCAATTAATTAACTGATGTATAACATAAGTAAGAAACAGGATGAGATTCATAACACAATAGCACCGTTCAAAGTCAGAAGGACAACACTCCATTTGTTAGTTCTCTGGTGTAATAGTGATCAGGTTTTGATCTGGAGAAAGTTTTCTTGTATCAAAATTGCTGACGCAATCTCGTTTTTTTTAAAAAAAACAAAAACCCAGAAAGCACAGGTAGATGATACTGATGAAATCATGGTTACTTTTAGCAAAAACAAAAAAAGTTTTGTTTCTAAAAGCTGAACATATTTCTTGATTTAGACAACTTTATAGGAAATAATAATAATAATAATAATAACAACAACAACGTTATTCTTATATCCCGCAACTATCTCCCCAAAGGTATTTGGGCTTACATATGGGTCAAAATGCCCACAAAACATAAAAGCAAAACAATCCATTAAAACAAGAACACAAATAATATAAGACCATACTAAAATTTAACAACCCAGATAAAACAGAAATAAAACATAAGAATATAAAACAGCAATGTTAAAACTCAAAACAATGTTCAACAAAACCAATAACCAGTAATACAATGGACATGACCAGACAATAAAAAGGGCACTATCATGGGACAGTGCAAACCAGTGTACCATAGGGCCGGGGTATTGGACAATGTGCAGAGAACAAAATATTATCAGGTGAACTAGGGATTGGGCATTTATAACTAGCTGTTCTCAAATGTCAGCTGAAACATCCAGGTTTTCAGGTACCTGCAAAAGTGTGGGGACTTGCCTAATCTCCCTGGGGACAGAGTTCCAGAGCCAGGGAAGGGGTCAACATTGAGAAGCCCTCTCCCTTGTCCCAATCATGCTTGTGACAGTGGTTGGATCGAAAGGCGGGACTCCCTAGCAGATTTTAGAGCTCATGCTGGTTCATAGGGGAAGATGCGGTCACAAAGATAGGCAGGACCCAAACCATTTAGGGTTTTGTAAGTCATAACTTGCACCTTGAATTGGGACCAAAAACCTATCGGCAACCAGTGGAGCTGCTTTAATAGGGGTGTCCTGCTCTCCCTATAATTATAATATGTCAATAATTCATAGTAGACAATGTTTCAGCAAACTTTCATCCAAAACTAACAATATGGACATGTGAAATGAAGCAACTTGAACAGATAACTATTTAGAAACCATTTAAAATATATTCCAAAATGCATCCAAGTATTTATTTTTTTTACCAACACTAACATTTAGTACAATCTTCACTCTTGGTTTCTGACATCTCTGCTCTGTTCACCAACTTTAGTTCAGCAATCTGTATTAAAATGTTTCACTTCTCATTGCTTTGACCAGATAATTCCCTGCCTTATGTCCCTACATCAGCCTTCTGTGCTCTCTTAGATCCGTTATAACCTTCCTGCCTTCCTTTCAGAACTTCTGTATTTACCTGCTTAATTCTATGTGGTTCCACATACATAATTATCCAAAGGCCTCCCTGCCATGCCTCTTCTTTGAAGTCTAGTCCCTATATCTTATGTTACCCAAACCAAAAGTATATACATTGAAATAATCATTTATTTTTCCTCTCTGCTTACCCATGCTTCCTTTCCCTCTTGTCTATTTCAGATAGGAAACTCTTTGGGTCAGGCACCTGACAAACCTCTTATTGTAAAGCACCATATATAAATAGCTCTGATATTAACCACTAAACCTCACAGCCATTTCATAAAGCTACAACATGCCTCAAGCATGGAGACTGGTCCAATTAAACACTTTGTGACAACCAATGGATATTTTTCAAGAGCCCTCAAAATGAGACATTAAGTCCTTAACTCTGTCAAAATGCAAATATGGCATTATTTAGGGGATTATCTGTTCAAGTTTGTAAGGGATAACTCAGCAGCACTTTTTTTCACGTGTGAAACCAAATGGAGTCTTTGGGAAGTGATGAACCTGTTTGCTGTCGAACTATCCAGTCTGAAAGACAGTTGCATCTATCAAGTAGGAAATTTAGGTAATGCTTTATGGCTAATTTAACTAATTTACAATGCCATAAAATCTTTCAGCAGTGCGTAGAAGAATGAGGAAGTACTCCATCAAAGAAAAAGCTGGAATGTTAAATGCCTCTGTGTCTGTCTATATATGTTGAATGTCTAAATGTCACTTAATGTTTGCCATGTATATATGCACTGTAATCTGCCCTGAGTTCCTGTGGGGTGAGAAGGGCGGAATATAAATACTCTATATAAATAAATAAATACCGAAGTATGAAGAAACAGCACATCACATGCCAAGACTATATAAAAAGGGAAAGGAACTCCATTCCAATGACTTTGTCCTGTTTCTTAAAAAGTATATGAAATATGGATCATGTTGACTACCAGAAAATATCCAATTACAGAAAGTATAATATTCACAGATAGTTCCACATATACTGTAGACAGCTTACTGAATATTAAAACTGTAGGTAATGTTAATCAGCATTATTCTAGATCAGAAATGTGAATGTAAAAAGTTTGTCTGCATTACAAATTGCCTCACACTTTAGTCAGAATATTTGTTTTTGCTCTGAATCATTCATACACACACACACACACATTCACAGAGAGAGGGAGAGAGAGGGAGAACATTTTTGCAGAGAGAGAGAGAAAGAGTGGGAGAGAGAGGGAGAACATTTTTGCAAGTTGAACACTTTAGATGTTTAAAGAGTTAAGATATTTCAGGTTCATGCAATTACAGGTGACAAGCTCTCTTTCTAGTGAGAATGTGCCAATTAGTTGATCTCAGTATTGAGGTGTGGATCCCTCCTTCTTTCTAGGTAGAACTAAATGTGATCTTGAGTTCTGATAATTTCAGTAACTTCACTTAATATTCACTATTGAAGCACCTGTACTGCTGGTATACTTGCTTGCTACTACAAAGCATGATGTTTAAGGTGGTTGTAGGAGTTAACTCTCACCACAGTCTTAGCAAAGCAAACTACTTCCTGAATAGTTCAGTGCCAGCAAAGAAAGTGTGCCACGTCAGACTTCCAATACAAATCGAAAGGACATGAAACTAAGAAACCTCAGACATGCAAACAAAACAATGCTGACTCAGTGACATGAATGTACTTTCTATTACATTTTAAGTACCTGAGATAATCTGTAGAATGAAACCCCCTCCCTCTTGTTTTCAATAAAAATTCTAGATGGATACAATTTCACAAAGCATACAACACACCAGTACAAATAATCAATCACCCACAATCAAACCAGAACTTGGAGAACAGCTGGGATCTTTCACTGGAATGGCCAATGGTTTGGGGAATCTGGAAACTATGGTCCAAAATATTAACTGTTCGAGACTACTCTTTGAACTGTAATTACCAGACTACTTCAGCAATTGACCATGCTTCCTGGCTGATGTGACTTTCTTAAAATCTGAATTAGAAGAAACATAAAATAGCACTAAAACTTCTGTTTAAGTAGTTGGAAACTCTGGGCATATATAATATTATAATAACTTTATTTTTATTCCCCACCTCCATCTCCCTGAAGGGACTCAAAGATAAACACATCATAAAATATAACACAACATCATAAAACAATAATTAGCCTGAACAGTAATAAATACTGAGCTCAGAGGGATAGGAGCTAGTGCAATAGTTTCAGGACAAGGCCTGGAAGAAAAGTGCAAGAGCTGATAATACCTTGGGCTAGAAGAGTAATATCATTTGTCATTTGAACATACTCTGCTGAAATGTGGGCATGTTTGTTTTGTTGGTGTGTCTTTCAAGTCATTTCTATCCTATCCTATGGTTTTCTTGACAATTTTATTCAGGATGTGTTTGCCATTGACTTCTCTAAGGATTAGTGACTTTCCACGACCAAGCAGAGATTTGAATCCTAGCCCAAAACTCAAACCATTATACCACACTGGCTCTAATACATCCATGTAACCTCTGCAACTCTTTTTGATGTAGTGAATGTTCTGTACCTTTATAATTACTCCCTTGGGTTAAGATGGAAATCCATCTATTACCATTTTCTAATGTATTCAGGCCATACTTAAAAGTTAGTTAGATTTATTTCCACAGGGTGCTTATGAGAATGGACTCAACCAGTCCATCCTATGTCTTGCTGACAGAAATGGTAAACCATACACGAATCTACTTGCTATAAGTAGATACTTCCATGTAGAAACTGTTTGACCATCATGCCTAAGTCTTGCAGATTCTCTTTTTTCTTTTTTGTCATTCATTGAAAGAATTATTTCTAAAATGAAAAGCAATGTATAGGTTTACAGGTTTTTTTTAAACATGTCAAGTGTAGCTGGTGAGACAAGTTTATTTGTTCTCCCCTTTTCTATTTTGCTGTTCATTCATACTCAGCAAGAGATTCCATAGGCGGCTGCTGATTACTTTGCCTGTTGTAAGCAGGCTGTCACAACTATAGTAGGATCAGCTAGAAACTTGATCTTTCCCAGCACTACTTCTTGGAGATACACCACAATCCAACAATGAAAGCCTTGCGCTTCTCCACTTCTCTTTAACCATCCTCCCAAAACTGATTCTGCTTAAAAACCACATACATCCAGACCAGTGGATCCCCAGATGTTTTTGGCCTTCAACTCTCAGAAATCCTAACAATTGGTAAACTGGCTGAGATTTCTGGGACTTGTAGGCCAAAGCACCTGGGGACTCCCAGGTTGAGAACCACTGACCTAGACAGATAATAAGAAAGAAAAGAAAGGAGCTAGGCAAGTATGAAAAGAGTTACTTTTTATGAAGAAAGGAGCTGGTGTTCTCAACAAAGCTGACAAAAGTCTGGTTTCTTTCTTCCTTTGTGGCAGCTTTTTCCTTCCCTTGCAAGCAATCCTTTTCCCATCTTCCTACTTGATGCCACATCCAAATCAATGGAATTATTATTACATACATACACACACACTCACCCCATGCAGCAGTTTTTATAAATCCATGGTTTCCAATTCTAGTTTGCTGGC